CACGGGCGCAGGTGCACCTGGTGGACCAGCACGCCAAGAAGGAGTTCCACGTGCTGCAGAAGGACTTCAAGGTGACGGCCATCAGCGGGGACAGCAGCCTCAAGTGCTTCTTCGCCTGCATGGTGAAGCAGAGCGACGTCGTCATCTGCACGGCCCAGATCCTGCAGAACGCGCTGGTCAGCGGGGAGGAGGACACGCACGTGGAGCTGACGGGTGGGCGCGGGACCCCACGCGCTGCCATCCCCATGGCTGGGGTGGGACTGTCCCAGCTGAGCCTCCGCTGCTGCCCAGGGGCTCCCGCATGGCTCACCCCTCTCTCCTCGCTTGCCTGGTGCAGATTTCTCGCTGCTGGTGATAGACGAGTGCCACCACACGCACAAGGAAGCCGTCTACAACAAAATCATGCTGAATTACCTCCAGCGCAAGCTCAGCGGGCAGCAGGACCTGCCGCAAGTCCTGGGCCTGACAGCATCCCCTGGCACCGGGGGGGCAACCTCCTTTGAGGGGGCCGTAGAGCACATCCTGCAGGTAGGTCCTGCGCCCCCCATCCTGTGCTGTGATGGGGTGCAGCGGCCCTGGCAGAGCTTCCCTTGGGGTGTAGCAGGGTGTCCTTTGGGGCGGGTGTTGAGAACCTGGTGTGCAGGCGCCAGGCAGCTGGGTGGCATGGGGGGGACATCCCCAAACTCACTGGGGTGCCACTGAGCACCATGCGCCACGTCACCCTGGGCTGCCGGGCTCAGGGCTGGAAGGGGGGTCTCGCCCTCTCAGATCTGTGCCAACCTGGACGTCGAGAAAATCATGTCGGCGCAGGAGGAGGCGCAGCACCTGCAGAGCCACGTCCCCCAGCCCAGGAAGCAGTACGACCTGTGCCAGGAGAGAGCGCAGGTGAGGGGCGGCTGGTCTGAGCCACAGGGCTGCTCGCTGGGTGCCAGGGGAGACCCCCAGCGGCGCTGAGCTGGGGGCTGCGTCCCTCCATCCGCTCAGCTCAGGCCAGTGCAAGGAACCAGTTGACCCCGAGCTTTGTTCCGGGGGAATCCCGCAGCCACCTGGGTCCTGCCGTGCAAACAGCCCCTAACCCCAGGCCAGGCACTCTGGGCTGCACCTCCGAGGCTGTCCGGAGCAACATCCCCGATTCCTCGGGCCCTGAGCCCCTCTCTTCTCCCAGGACCCCTTTGGCGAGCAGCTGAAGAAGATGATGGAGCAGATCCAGCAGCACGCGGAGATGCCCAGCCTGCCGCAGGACTTTGGCACGCAGCTTTATGAGCAGCGCATCGTGGAGCTGGAGAAGAGAGGTGAGGAGGCAGCGGTGCGGGTATGGCAGGGCAGAGGCGGCAGCTGCGGGGCCAGGCTGTGACTGTGACGTGCCCCGTCCCCTGGCAGCGGCAGAGACGTTTTGTCGCAAGACGCGGGTGTGCGCGCTGCACCTGCGCAAGTACAACGACGCTTTGCTGATCAACGACACGGTGCGGATGATCGACGCCTTCCAGTGCCTCCAGCAGTTCTACAGCACAGAGAGGGACATGAAGGACCCCACCGAATGGTTCCTCACTGCCGTGTTTGAGGGTAACATGGGGGGGGCCTGGAGGCGGGCTGGTGCTGGCTGTGTTTGGGGAGTGGGGAGCCCCCCTGACGCCTGTCTCGCCTGTGCAGAGAACAGGACGAAGCTGCAGGCGCTCGCTGGGGACCGGTGTTACGAGAACCCCAGGCTGGGCAAGCTGGAGGAGATCCTGCAGGAGCACTTCCAGCCCCTGGGCACCTCTCGGGGCATCGTCTTCACCAAGACCCGGCAGAGCGCCCACAGCCTGCTCGGCTGGCTGCAGGACACAGCCGCGCTCTGCGGGCAGCACATCAGGGCTGCCGTCCTCACCGGCGCCGGCTACAGCAACCAGACCAGGCACATGACGCAGGTGAGCCGAGGGTGGGAAGGAGCTGGCGCCCCTCTCTGCCCACTTGGTGGGCGCTGCGGGTGCCACCAGGGGCTGAGCCCTGCGCGGCTGCTGAAGCGTCGCCCTCTCTCCCCCCAGAACGAGCAGCAGGACGTGATCAAGCTGTTCCGTGAGGGAGCCCTCAACCTGCTCTTCTCCACCAGTGTGGCCGAGGAGGGCTTGGATATCCCCGAGTGCAACATCGTGGTCCGCTACGGGCTGATGACCAACGAGATCGCCATGATGCAGGTAGCTGCCTGGGCTCCCTCCAGCCGCTCTGCCCAGCCTCATGTGAGGGGCAGCCTGCTGGGACGCCCCAAAGCCACTGGGGCGGGACACGGGGGCTCTTGCATCCCACGCCAGCTGGCAGCTCCCTGGGGATGAGCCCAGCCCCTGGCAGAGCATCTCCCCAGCGAGGAGGGTGTGGAGGGTAGATCCATCCTCGTGGGGTGGCACGGGGAGGCGGGGAGGGGTTGGCCACAGCCCTCCTCAGCTGACCGCAGCGTTTGGCCCTTCTGCGACAGGCCCGGGGCCGTGCCCGTGCCGAAAACAGCGTCTACTCCGTCCTTGCCAAAGCCAACAGCAGAGAGGTCTCTCGCGAGCTGCTCAACGAGGACCTCGTGGAGCTCATGGAGAGGGCGATCCGAGCGGTGCAGGCCATGCCCGAGCAGGAGTACCGCCTCAAGGTGAGCACGGGGCGCTGCCCTGAGCACCAGCAGGGTCAGGCGGCCACTGCCCACCTCCCCACGC